TTTATTTTTACTTTAGTAAGGTTCTCAGCATTATCCCCCGTAACAACCTCACAGAGAAATTGATGAAGTATGAACTAGGTTAGTGAACATAAGGTAGACTGAAAACTGGCTCAGCTGTCATGATCAAAGGGTTGTAATCAGTGGCAGAAAGTCCAGACACAGCCCATACTGTTTAACATCTCCATTAATTACCTGTATGATGGAACAGACTCCATTCTCAGCGAGTGTGCACATTACTTAAAGGAGGAGGGTTTGGTAAAGCAGAAGTTTGTGCTGCCGTTCAGACCTCAACAGGCTGGAGAGATGGGCCAACAAGAGCTTCATGAAGCTGAACAAAAGGATATGACAAATCCTGCGCCTGGGGAAGAGCAGCTCCATGCACCAGCCCAGTCTGGTAAGAATAGCATCAATTTTGACAATGAGAGACTTGTTGATTTAAGTGAACAGATACAATGAAGGAATGGTGCCTAGTGTCCAACTTAAGAAATTGTTTAATTATAGCTTTACCAAGCCTAAACCAATTAAAAGTTTTCTTTCACAAAGCTCATCCTGTATATAATCCTTCTTTTTGTGTGTTACCCTGCTTTTTCAATTTTTAATGTAGCTGATTTCATATTAAAACCTTTATAGAAGCTATGCGAACATGATGCTCCATATTCCTAAACCACAACTATGTAGGGACATAGTTGGCAGTAAGATGAGTCAGTGTGGTAGTACCTTTGGGTTGATTTTATTATTTTTATTTCTTTTTATTATTATTTACTGTAGTGATTAGGATTTCAGGCAATGAGTTAAAACAATGTATTACTAGACTGGCAGTCAATCAGGTCACTATCACTTCAAAAATCATTTAAGAAGATCTACTTTTTTATTATTTATATAGCTCCATAGTTCATGGTGCTACATAGAACAAATCAAAAACAGATTCCCTGCCCCCTAAGAGCTTACAGTCTAGGCAAGTACAAGAACAACAGGAGAAGGTAACACAGGCAGGGGACAGAGAGGGGTAGTAAATGAAAAGGACAATTACAGTCATGTAAAAAGCTAGTGTGTTTATCTTTGTGGATACAAACTGGGGAGGTGAGATGCTTGAGTAACTTTATTTTTAATTAGAACTATATTTTATAGGAAAGCCAGAGAGAAGGGTTTTGAAAATAAATTTAGTAGTGTCAAAGGTGCTTGTAGGAAGGCAGAGAGGCGAGACTGGAAGGGAACAGGACACTAACGTATTTGAGATTGGAAAGCAATAATCTTGAATGTCAGACAAGTCAACCTCAGCAACCCTTTCTTTTCCTACATGTTTTTGAGAAAATGACAAAAACCACAATTACTCCCGTAACACAGGCTGAATTCTTATTTTGCCTTTAATATTGTATCAGTACACGTTTGGGCATGAAATCTTGATTCCTCTGAAGTAGGAGTTTTGAAACTCCTTTCAAAGTAGTCAGCATTTTAATAATCATATTTTGTGATTGCTGATGTATTTGGAAATTCTAATATATTTGGAGACTAAGTGAAGTTGTGTTTAAAGTACTTTAAATATTTTTCTAATATCCTTAATATAATAATACAAAAATTTCTTTATAACATTATATTTTACCTCTTTGTATGCCGTTATCTCTGCTCATGACCCCTTTTCCATGAAAACATTTTGATTTTGTAGAATATCAGGGTATTTCTCCTACTTCTATTTGAGACTTTGGATTTTGGTGAGATTTTTTTCTTCATAAATTATGTCTTTTCCATTCTGTTATTTGGGGGTTTTGGAAGACTTTATGGATGAAACCAGGAAGGATTAATGCAAGTAATTAAACATGAAAGAAAAGGTTCTTTCAAACCTATACTGAATTCTTCAACTGAAAGTTGAGACAGAAACTTCTTGAAGTAGTTTCTCATTAAAAACCTGCCAGATACTCCCTGGATAAGTTTGTGTTTGTTTTTATGTAATAGAGGAATATTATGAAATGGCTTGCTGATGTGTATAACCAGAGAAATTCTTATTTACTATAAAGCACCACATATCTCTTGATTTCATCCAATTATTTGGCTCAGAATTTTTTACTACCAGTCTTTCACATTTTCTTATTTATAGATAAGTTAAAGAGGGTTTCTGTCATTTATTCTGTAATATCCACATAGTTATCTATTGCTGTATAACCATGCTGAGGCAACTTGAAGATCTAAATTGTGTGTCTTGAGAATTTTTAAAGATTATAGACATATATCTTCCTTGAAACAGATACAGTTAAAAAAAAAGAAAAACAGTCCTGTTCAGATTTTACCTCAGTTGTCATCCACCAGGTAGCACCATATGTAACTGAGTTATAACTGCTTTAAAAGTCATCCCTAGAATGACATTCGAGGTCAGTAAGAGAAGCACCCATCATCATGTCCTGGAAAATCAACAGACTAATAGAGCTATTATCTGAAACCACATAAGCAGTTATGTACAGATTCTGAATCTTCATGGACCAGATAGATACTCACTTGATATTAGCTGGTGTAGTTCCAGTGATTTTAATGGCATTGTTGAAATTTATGCTACATGGGAATTTGGGACTAGCCATTCAGAGGCCTATCAAAATAAGGAAGCTTTCTTCAGAATTGAGGATTTTCTTCACAACAGTGAAAGGAAAAGGAACCATTATGTTGGGGTTTTTTGAGTACAAAACTACCAGTAGTATTTCTACTGCTTTGGGGGTCATTTCTTTGTTAGTAATTTTTCCTCAAGTATCTTAATTTTCTGTGAAGCATACAGAAATAACCACCAATGCACAACAAAGTAACATTATGAATTAGTGTATGATTTTTTAAAAAAGACATTATCCTACTATGAATCAGTGGAACCATGCATTTCTAGTCTTGATCTTAAATACAAATCTTCAATTACTTTGCATATTTTCCTTAATAATAGAAGGCTGAAATTTTCACTGAAATCTTAATTAAGCCACATTACTTCTGGTTTAAGTTTTTTGTTCCTTGGGGGACTTTGACCCAGTAAAACATTTGGGACATATACTGCATTCACACTTACTTTGGCTCACATAAAGCTTAATGAGAATTAGTTGTGTGCGTCAAGGTGAGAATGGAATCCTGTTTATTTCAACACCCTTAATGGAGAAAAGAAAGGTTTGTTTGAATATAACACAGGATTTTATTACACAATTTTACAAATTTTATTGTAAATCATCACTCAAATGCAATAGCTATTTTTTTTCCACTCCAAACCATCATAATTAGGAATTTTCATTCTGTTGTATGACAGTTACTTTCTTGCCTTTTGTATTTTAAAGAATTAACTTAAATATATATTATGTAAGTATATTCATTTTCAGAATCTTTGCTGAAGATGTTTTTATCTTCTTTATACTTCAGATAAAGATAACCTCTTCCCTGTTATCACATAAATGGGGATGAAGCTCTCATGAATACAAGAGAATTTTCTTTCTCAGTCCCTGTTCATAACAGAGATGGCCAGCTCTGTCTCTATGAAGATCTATGAGAACTGGGTAGTAGACACAAACCACCCTCTTTCCCCCAGATTTAATGATATAATTTCTACAATTTGAATGATATATCTTATACTCCTGTGCTAGAAAGATGGTAAGATTAAATTAACCCTAGTAAACAAACGGTCTCATTACTCACCAATGACTATCTGTGATAAATTTAGTTTGGTTTAAGTTAGTTAAATTAATTATTTTCCGTATAAAGACAATCTTTGTAATCTGTTTTGGCTGACATATCATTCCTTCATAGTCCATCCTATATATTTTTTGTTGAGATACAAATTTACAGCAGATGGAGGTGCAAGATTCAGCATCTGTAGGGCAGTATTTAGAAATGTTATGTCCAGGAACTCATCACAGGCAGGACACACAAATTAGCTTTGAAGCAACTAATGGCTAGGTCCTGCAAAAACTTATCATAACGTGTTGTACTGGCTTCTCTCAGGAATCCCAGAAAACTCTCTGGCCATGCCTTTCATGGCATGAATCAGCAGAACAGGGCCCTAATCTGAGGCTAAGTACCAGTACTGACAAAAAGTACTGTACATATGTTGCTCAAATCACACAGCAAAAACAAAACAACTAAAACTGACATAATTTTAATGCTTTTTTTTTTTTTTTTAATTTTGTGCATTGGTTTCAAACAGCAAACTGAGTGCACTTTAACCGTTATCACAATGTGGTCAAGAGGTCTGTGTCTTTTACCATTTACACACAATTGTTCATGACAGCACGTTATCAGCCTAGTGGAAAACAGGGGTGTAGCATGGTAAGCAGTGGTGGTAGTGCACCTATTTTTTATATTATCTAACTTGAAAATATGTCTCTTCTAAGATTCCTTTTTCTTGATAAAAATAGTTTTCACCAAACGTTGGTGGTGCACACGCACTACCATTCATGCTTGGCATCACACCCCTGACAGAAACACATGTTCTTATTTTGTTGATAAAAAGTATTACAAAAATTTCCATACAAAAACTATTTTCATAGAAATCTTGCATTTCCACAAAGAAACCTGAACATTTTTTTTTTTTTTTTTTTTGGAAAAAAAAAAAACCTGCTCAAGAATTTTGTTCATTTAGTACTGTGACTGTATTGAAAAATGCAGTCCTCTTTAAAGTTCTCCCCATTCACTTCTTTTAAGTGACTCATCCTACTTCCAATATTAGCGAGATTCTGCAGGCTCCATTGAGTTCAATTAGTAGCAGGAACAAGGGTTTCAAAACCCACTCAGGCTAAAATGCAAGCCCTCTATGTGTGAAATACAGTGCTTCCCACCCCCTCCCTCTTTTCACAATTAAAGAAAAAAAGTAATCACTTATATCTAAAGGTTGTAAGATACATTCTTTTGTACCAAAGAAGTTTTCATTCATCTAAACATTGGGTCAAAATTATGGAATTTTTTGTTGGTGGTTTTTTTGTTTTTTTTTTTTTTGGATTAAAGTTCCAGCCCAGGTAAATTTAAGTTACTGATTTATATTTTTTAATTATTATTTATTTATTTAGTTCAGTGACACAGACAGTCCAAAAAGCAGGTGAGCATCCTCATATTTATCCTTCTAATCATGGGATTCATATTTCTTCACTTTAACATTTCTCCCATCCAGGAAGCTCATGTTGCCTGTCCAGATGGTAGTTTCAGTCTACCAGCAGTTACCAACTCTTCTATGCTTGGAAGTTCAAAAGAACATATGGTTTCTTGTTCCACTACAGTTCTGAGATATTATGTTTACTAGACTCCTTCCAAGGTTAGTATCATCTTGGACATTTATTTTCCATCTCCTGGCAACCGTTGAACTTAAAAGGAACCTGTAATTTCTCACTGAGACTGCATTTGAAACCAGCCACAAAACTCACATGGAACATTCATTCATTCAGAATGGTCAAAACCCATGACGAACAGTGTAACCCCGCATAACTTGATTGATCCATGATGCTTGTGATTCGAGTCTGGCCATTGCAACTGCTGAGATCACAGAGTCTCTAGTTCATAGACACTGCGGCATGAGGTAACTCATTTTATTCTGCACAGGTTGCATATTTCCACAGGAAACATTCTTGCAAGGTTGTTTGGAAAAAAGATGACAGTTTGTGCTTGGGGTATTTGGCTTCCCAGCTCTATGCCATGGTTTCTTTACCTGGCAACCTTCTGTCATTAAACGTGTGCATGTTGATAACTTCTTCTGTTTTCACAATAACTGGGGCCTGTGGCTTGTGTTTTAATCGACGCTGACACTTCAGAGACATCCTTAGCTCCTCTATCATGGCACTACAGAAGGACCTCTACAGTTTAAGAAAAGAAAAAAAAACACCTGTAAGAAATGTCTAGCTACAATGTCTAGAAGCAGATTCACTTTATTGGAACAGCCTTGTCAGTCCTATTGGTTTGCTTTGTCACAGTCTGGAGCTCATAGCAAATTTCTGTCTTTTAAATATGCATCACATCATAACTGAAATGACTTATCAAGCTGTGATGACCCAGTGAAAAAATCACCTACAATTATTTGTCTGGCAGCTACTGACTATAGATGCATAAGATACATAAAAAAAATTCAAGCAGATGATCTCTTAATGTAAGTTAGAGGATAGAATCTGAATGCAATATATATTAGGTATTCAGTACAATCTTTTTTCCCATATTTAAAAATAATTTAATTTCCATATGATTTAAATAGCTGTTCCTTAACAAAACAACAAGCCTTAGTATAGGAAGTTTACCTGAATTAGTGCTTAAATATGGTTAAAATGCAGACCGAATTACTGAAAAGTGCTATCTAGTCCATTATTTTTAACATTTTCTGTGTTGAAACACTTCTTTCAATAGTGAGTATCATTTGAGGAGCATATATTTGCAAACAAGGTCACTGCTTTTTATGTATATTATTAGAAAAAGTCAAACATGTTTTCACCAAAAGCTAGGTCCTCTGAGACCTTCTTTTTATTTTTCAGTGAAATAAATTTGAAAAGTAAAATAAAATCTCTCTTAGTCTCTCAGTCCAACTGAATTCTCAACTGCTAATAGTGTGCTGAGCAATTAGCTTTTCCTCAGTGTGAGAACTGAAGTATGGATGAAATACAGAAGTAAGGAAGAAGAGTCTCAGTTTTGGGATATGTAAATTAACCATTTTTATTATATACTTTAACTCAAATGTTTTCCATCTAATGGAGAAATTTGGTAACTGAATAACACATCCCAGAGTCCAAGCCTTTAACAATTGCTCTCACCCAAAGCAAATTCAAGGTATAATGTAGCCCTTTGCATTTTACTTTCTTAGTAACTAATGAGGAGAAGAAGATGATCTGGGGAAAAAAAAAAAAAAAAAAAAGACAGAGCATCTAGAATTACTGAAAATATTTCTTGATAATTGTTTTATTTTGCATGATTAGTGGTAGATCATCAGTCAATATATAATTGTCTGATTTATTTCCTAAATCAAGAACTCTGCTTTATTTGTAAACTGTTATATCACCATTATTCGCACAAACCTGAAGTTTGGAGATTAGATCCAGAAAATACTTAAGTACCTCACCCTACTTAGTTTTTTGGGAACCTAAATTGAAACTGGGTTTGTCAAAACCTGCATTCAGCTTCCAACCTCCAGGGCTGAAGGCACTCTGAGCAGTAAGGCACTCAGTTTTCCATATTAAATTTTATAGATTTGTCATTTGGCAGTAGTCAGTAGAAATTCTGCTAAGCACATTGGTGCTTGGCTTAATCTTGGATCCAATCAGAATTCACAGAATTCACACTCAAGTTCTCCATGTGTGTCTCTTCAATAGTGTATTCTGCTGATGGAGCTTTAAGCTTCAGTGCTCATCAAATGGCTGTAAGCTACAAGCATTAGAACATTTCAAGGTAAAAACACTTGCAGTTTTCACCTACTGATCCACTTGGCACAGAAGCAGTTAACAGGCAGGACAGGAGAAAGGGGGAGAGAAAGGAGAATGTGGGCTTTTTTCTGTACATTACGGATTAAAACACACAGTGATAAAGGAAAGGCTTCAGTGTTAGTTACCATTTGAGTGATGAATTCAACATTTTAATGTATAATTCTGTAAATAGAAAGGTGCAAACACAAGCTGTCTCAGTCATGGCTTCGAACCCTAACCTGAATCCCCCAAACCCTGAACAAACACCTTTTTCCTAATCCTTTCCATGAATAAGGGAATAGGCAGGTGGAAGGAAAAGGTAATCTTTGGCTGTTACACCCTTCATTTCAAACATTCCCTTCTGCTAAGTCTGAAGTAAAGGAATGATATCTACAACTAGGAAAAGTTTAAGATTTGAGTACGAAAGAGAGAATGGTATATCACTCAGGTCAAGCACAAGACCTTCAAAGGCCAAATTTTGAAAAAAAATTTCTGGCTGGCATTTCTAGCTGGAGTGACTTCTTCAATGGACACACATTAGTAGTAGCTTTTAAAGATGTTCCAGTGCACTGGGTTGACATTCAAGACAGAATTTACAGCTTTGAGAATGAGATGGCTAAAATTTCTAATTGAATGGTCTGAGATATGTCAGATATTCACACATAAGGTATCTTTGCTTAGCACCGTGTAGAAAGCAGGAAACTACCTACTTCTTGTCCAGCTGTACTTTGAAGGAAAACATTCAATTAGACCTTCTTAGACCTCTTTTTTTTTTTTTAGAAAGTGCTTTTGCCTAACATCAGAACTGCAATTATGACTACAAATCTGAAATGAACCCCCAAATCTTTCCAAAGGGTAAGATTTAATTTAATATTCCCTACTGGATTACAGGCTAAATTGCTAATGCTTGTAGATCTTGGCATTTTCACTATGTGGGGAACCTAGTACGTAACTCAGAAATTTCACAGGTTATCCACTAAGAAGTAAATGTTGCAACTCCCAGCCTTGCACTACCTCCAGCCATTACTTGGCTCTCACCTCTAGAATCAAAGACCTAAGTGAAACATTCTGAGAAACAAAATTGATCTAAATTTAAAAATGGTACATTAGCACTTAACACTTTCAAGATTTTGTCCCTTTCTTAGCAAAGACATCTAACACAAGTGCCAAAACAGAGTGAATCCTTTTCAAGATGCATCAATCCACCAAAACCTTTGCAAAGATCTGCAAACTCTTACCAAGGGGTATAAATTTTTAAGTAGTATCAGTAGAAACAGGATTATAATCAATAGCCAAGAGGTAAGAAGACACATGCACTGGATGCCAACTTTCTGAAATACCCTTCAAATGAAATTTCATGAAACTTGACAACACATTTTATCGAAGAATGTTACCTGGATCTGAAAACTTATTAAATGAGAAACATTGGCAAAACTGACAATATTAAAAAGGCAGTTAACAAAATTTTGAGATGACTATTTTATCTAGAAAATGCATTTATTCTGTGTTTGAAATTATGTTGTATGAATTAAGTTCATGGGAACTTATCTGCATATATGATTTTAAAACCATTATTCAATTACTTCATTTTTTAAGTTTTTTATGTCTGCTATATTTTTTAAAATACCAAATGTCTTAAACCAATATACAGTATTAGCTCCCAGTCAGAACCATTGTTTTGGTAACTGAGCACTGAATAAGAGCAATATTACTTTCCCTCTGGCCCCCAGATTTCACTCATTGCCATAGTTATGCATTTTAAAAAAGATTAACTCAAGGCTATGTAAAAGTTCATGGCCTGAATGCTTATTCTTCTTTGCTTTCTATCTGAGAAATGTAAGGAAGTGTTTTCTCACATATTGATATAAAATCATGTTCAAAAAAGGTTTACAAAGGATTACTTTATGTTTGACCTTTATTTAATAGAAATTCTTTTCTTGCCTGTTTTCAATTCAAATCTGTGTACAGTCTCCATTTTCTGTACAGTTAGACTTCGTGTTCTTTTACTGTTTTGGAATAATACGACATGAAAAAAAAGATGCAGGTCTTGAAGTCTTGAATATTTATTTTTTTTTTTAAGACAAATAAATGACATTTTCAGATATGATTTTAGAAAATACAACCCAATATCTTGATCCTGAATTCAACTGGCCATTCAGATAGTTACGGAAAAAGAGTAAAATGTTTACAGAACATATTGACTCTATTTCAAAACTGTTGCCCAGCCTGAAACAGAGCACTTTTAGTATATATTATAAGACTGCTTAATTCAGAGAAGATACCTTTTGCCCACCTTACCTTCCATACTGCAGGCATGTTACGAAAACATCAGTTATTATGGATTTTTCACCTACCCTTATGAAATTGTAAGATTTTGCCTGAAATGTTACCAGAAAGTAAATGCTGCCTTCAAGTTACCTCGTATATAATCAAATAGTAGAAAAGTTAAAGGAAGGCATACGGTTCTCTAAACAACAGTGCACTTAAAAGCAACTATTTGGTAGCAGCAAATCACTGCAAAATGTTAGAAAAAAAGGTTGCAATTCTGAATGGGGAGTTCAAGTGTACAAAAGAAAATTTAATCTGAACTGCATTTCTTAACCTTTAAACACAAAGCAATTTTGAAAAGGCTCATCTACTTAAGAATAGTAAGGGAGTAACTGATACCTCTTTAATTCTTTGCCACAGCTGACAGCTCACAAATCACGTAGAATCGAGATGATAATTTTCCAAAGTGTTACCATTGTTTACAATCTATTTAGACAGCTGTGCATGGTTTTACTGCCTGAGAAAAAATGTATCTATATATGTATTGACATGAAAGGTACACAATATTTAAACTGTTTTCATTCTATTGCTTCAAAGGAAATCAGAAAGGTAATTAGAAATTGTATCAGCATTCATTAGACACAGAATTATGAGAGTACTACCACAGATTTTGCTTTTATCAGCCTAAAAAAAGCAACAGGAAGACAGGAATGGCATGCTTGCACCACTCAGCATTTTGATTTAAGTGACTATTATTCAATGTGTTTTAAACACAGAAATCTCCAATCAGTTGCTGGTTTATATTTTTTCACATTTGATGCAGTTAATATAAAGCTGACTGTCAATATTCAATAAAAAATGCAAGATTTATTCAAAGGTTCATTACTTCCAGTCTTGTGTGTCAGATATTATTTGAAATCTTGTTTAATTTTCTTAAAGCAGTAACAGCAGTAATCCTGCATCACCTTATTGTATTATGGATCAGTGTTGTAGCATCTAGTAAGATATTTCAATTAAACTGGTTTTCATCCTCTTGAACTGAGAATGAATGCACAGACCTACCCTGACCCTCCCTCCTAATCAGTTTCTGCTGACATGTGCCACTCCTCTAGGGGTTTTGAACGTGTATATGGAAAACCTGTCAA